ATAGAAACGTCAGGGGTTTTAGCTGTTCTAAACAAATGTTAATAACCATTACAGATACGGAAGCCAGTGAGGTCCAAACACTGTGGTGTATGCAATCGATGTATAGCGAAGTTTGATCACCACTGCCCGTGGGTGGGCAACTGTGTAGGTGAGTAATCTGCTAAAACACAATGTTGTCTTAACAGATAAAGAAGGGAAAATCTGCCCCGGGTGGTGGTGTTCAGGGTTTTGCCTGTACTCATTTCACAGTGAAAGTGACTTGGCTTCTGCCAAAGTCTGAGAAATACTGTTGAGGACTTCTAGTAGAAGGAAAAACATTTTCAATGTTGAGCTTTATTTTTTTTTCTACATGCTATTCTCTGCGTTATTCTCATTTGTATTGTCTGTTATATACTCATCCTCAAAATTGTTCTGTGTCTATTTCAGTTTTCTATCTGTATATTTTTATTAACACAAACTCTGGTAATTAAAAGATGCAAAGCTTAACTGCTTTTTAATGTTAGCAGAAAAGGCATGTACCGATTCCACAACTGGCTGTTACCCTTTACATAAGATAAAAATTTTCATCTTTACCAGTAATTTTCAGTGATTTAATGGGAAAGTATACGTATTCAAAAATACCATGATTGTAGCAGTTAGATACAGAATGATTTCCTATTGAGGTATTCTCTTTTTGATCCCCCAGGTAGTCATTTATTCTCCCCAGTCTTGATGAAAGGAGCGGATATAGAACAGGAATAAAGTCTCTAAATGCTACTATTCCCTGTCATGCTCTTTGAGAAACTTACTTGAAAGCCATTATTATGCAGGGAGCACTGAAGACTTCACAGCTAGGAAATGAGTGCAGCTTGCTTCACTGGTTTATTTTTTTAGGACACAAGCAGAAGTAACTTTAATCTTGGGGAGGAATTAGGACCTGGGTTCATCGACAGCTGACAGCCAATAAATGCTTCATTGTAGTCCTTCCAAATATATATAATAATGAATAGTCACAGCAGTTTGGTCTTAGAATCAAGAGTAAAATAGTCAATGCTGGCATTGAATTGTAATAGAACATCACTAAAATCTCATTGAGATGGACTTCTATCACTCCCATCTATTTTATAGTTCCTACTGATGTTACTACCTGAGCTACTTCTGATTTATATTTTAGATGTTTTACGATGACAAACTAAGAAATTTTTAATTAAAACAGGCAGGGGGGCATGGGCTCAGATTTTTGTGAGTGTGAAGTGGACAATTTGTTTTGCAAGAGTGCTGAGGAGTACTTGTCAATGCGACAGAAAGATCCAGTATTTTAATCAGTAACTGGAAAAGTCTGAAAAACAGATGGGGGAGGAAGGAGCTTATTTTGTGTGTAATAAGGGAGTATGTGAGTAACGGGATTAAGTTCAGTGGAGGAAATGGTTTTTAAAAAACAATGGTGATGGGAAAGCAGAATCCTCCTACTAATGGTCTTGTACAGATTGGGATAACTGGAGGTAAAAGTAAACATTAGGGCGCTTGAAAGTAGGCTGGGAAAAAAGCATTAGAAATCAGACTGTGGAACAGCCCTGAACTGGAGGGAGTGGTGGCCTAAATGACCTTATACGGCTTTTCTGGCGCTCTCAGATCGGTACGTGGGGACTCTGAGCGTAGGATTACAAACCAGAATCCATTCTTAAAACAGCATTCATGGTATGTTTGCCAAAAAGGGAAACATGAATCATGCCTTTCTGGAAAGGTGGAATTTGGAAATGTTTTATGTAGTCTTCCTTTGAATGTGTTAGAAGGATAAGAATTTTACTAAAGATAGGACTGAGAAATATTTCAAGAGTGTGTACATACACTTTAAAATAAATCCTTTGGGGATAAGACTTGCCACATAAAGAGATTGAGAGAGGATATTTTTACCACTCTGAAGAGGTTGACAAAAAGTACAGACTATTTGAAGAATAAATAAATTGGCAATTGGGATGAAATCATACCCGCAAAATTACAGAGAGCAAGTCTCTAAAAGTGATTATACCTATCTTGTTAATGGAGTATCAAAATGGCATTATGGTTTTTACAGTTGGTTGTTCAAAGATGAAAAATAACAATTTATTAAACTTGTAGTTACATTTCAAACACAAACTGCAGACTTGCAACAGAAATTTAGTTTTCAAGTAACAGCATGAAAGGAGCTAGAGCCAAATTTTAAACTCTTATATAAATAGTCACATGGGTTATGCCAACGTTGTACTGATTTATTGTTCTGATAGCAGTGACTCAGACAGTAGGTCTTGTGTATATGGGAAATTATTTTATGGTTTATAATAATGATCACTTTTCCCCCCAAAAAAGATTCTTCTCCAAGAAGAAGCTAAAAGTAGGAAAAATTAAGAAATGAACAAACAAATCACGCAATACAAGTCCATCAGTGAAAAAATCAGTTATTTTTATTATGTTATTACTTATGTATAATATAAGAACAACTGTATAAAATAAATTAGCAACAAATGTTACAGCATTGTTTTAACTGTGGAGCATAACTGACTGTGTTCCTGCCAGTCCAGGGTGAAACTGTAGACAACAGTCCTGTGTTTTTCCCAATCTTATTTCAGATACAGAAGAAAGGCAGTTTCTCCACTTTCTTTTTCAGAAATAGAATAGTCACATGGGAAGAAAGGCAGTTTCTCCACTTTCTTTTTCAGAGCCTTTTTTTTTTTTTTTTAACTGTGACCAAGGTTATACCTGTCTCATTTATAGTTCTAAATGCTACATGAGTGTTTTCACCAAATACAGATGTATTTGCTGTTAAGCACAGTTTGGTTAGTATCACTGAAGATGCTGCTAAAAGGAGCAGCTCGTCAGATGCCTCTCGGATGGACATCTAGGTCACCATTTAACTTCCTTTTTTTAAAAAATGTCTTTTATGAAACTTAACAGTTCTGAAATTTAGAATGTAAATGAAAGTGATACCTTAGGGACATTCCCAGCACTGTTTCTCATATGCTCTTAGGTGATTGAAGGCAATGTTACAACATATTTTATGTCTGAAGGAACTTGTTTGATTTTCAAGGAAATGTCTTGTGTTTAGTCTAGCTTGTGTTATATGTGTATTTTTCCTCATCTCTTATTTATATGGTCTTTCAGTTCACTTGCTAAAAGCACTTGATTATTTTCTGCCTCCAGAGGATGCTCTTGTTTTAACAGGCAAAACATTTGACATAATGAAGAAGTAAATGCTGTGCTTGTAGATGATGACAGCCAGACCTTTTGCAGCCCATTATCATCTCTGTGGGTTTAGCTTACAGCCTGGAGCTCTTGGAAGGTTGCAACAGTGGACATATTTTACAAACAGAAGGAAGTCTGAGTACTTCAAAATTATGATGTACTTGCATAAGAGGCATCTTTTTAGCTCTATTGATGTTAAAAATAGATCAGTCTTTTAGTAACTGAATTTTCTTGCCTTTAATTTCTGTCTTAAGCAGAAGGGGTTTTATCCCATTCATTATTTTAGCGAGGTTGTTTTAGGCCTCATCTCTTTGGTTACAGGTATTTGTTTTACAAGTTCTGTTAGATATTTTATTTTTAGCTAGCTTCATTGAGCCGGTTTAAACCTAAGTTGGGAATTAGCTTATTATCAAGGGAGGTTGTATATTTATTCATGTTTCTGTTTCTTTTAAGAAAGTAAACTCTGCAGTCTGACAGTTGTTTAATGGCATTTTAAAAATATTTATTGACGTGGAATTCCTGGGTGTTCAGGGCTCTGCAACAGCTGTTGCCAACATTGTTCTAAATACTGTCTGTCAATAATTTTATTAGCTCATGAAAGAGGTTACAAATGAAATGCAGTTGTGTGAATTGCAGCTGTAATGTGACAGAAATTGAAGAAAATAAAACATTACTTTGTTGTCTCAGAAGTAAAAAAAAAAGTAAACCAGCTAATTTCACTGTCTTGAAGTTATATTGGCTTAATATTGGAGAATAATGTTTCTGTGTACAATAATAAGCAGTATTTCTAAGCAAGCAATTAAACTTTCTGATGTAACATTGTCTGTCTTCTGAGAGTGTAGTAATTTGATCCTTGTCGTTCTTGTGCAACTTCAGGAGCAGGGAACCATCGCTATTTTATGGGATACCTGTTCTTCCTGCTTTTTATGATCTGCTGGATGATTTATGGATGTATCTCTTGTGAGTAAATGTGGTTTTTTGGCTTTTTTTAAATTGCTTATAAATACTTTGTTTATCTCCTAGTATGGATTTTTACAAATTTTGGATTTTTTTTTCCCCGGAATTGAACTGCATATTACTAATTGACTGTATTGGATATTTTAAGTTAGAAGATGATGTTTTTCTTGTCCTAGATTTTTTTTTTCTTCATCACAGCCAAGTTGTCCATATGTCTTGTATTGAAGGAGTTGGGAAAGGAAGAGAGAGCAAGTAAAACTATTTTGGCACATTGTCATTTTCTTATTTAGTTTAATACATTCTAATGTGGACATTATGTTGATGTGCAATAAACATATTTTAAATCTCCTCTATGGTTTTTGACACTTTGTTTTTTCTCTAGACTGGGGTTTCCACTGTGAGACAAGTTATGCAAAGGATGGATTTTGGACCTATATTACACAGATTGCTACTTGTTCTCCATGGATGTTTTGGATGTTTCTAAACAGTGTTTTTCACTTCATGTGGGTGGCTGTGTTACTCATGTGTCAGATGTATCAGGTATGGAAGAGCACTTCATTTGTAATGCGGAGTCTTGGGAGTGACATAAGAATATCATATAGTTCTGTCATTTAAGTTTTAATGTTCAATATGCAAGACCAAGTGTTCAGTCTCTCAGCCACGCCGGAGGAAGCAGGCATCTGTTGTCTCTGGATATTAGGCATCATTCACTTCTCGTTCACTTGTGATATTTTTTTTTTTTTGCAAGATATTTTTTTTTTTTGCAAGAGGTTAAAATACCTACCTCCTGCTTTCCATTCTCAGAATGAGAAAAAGGCAAATCAGACCAGAGAAGGGCAATAAAGACTAATAGCGGGTAAGATCTGTGGGTCGAACTCGGAATAATGCAGTATTTCATTAGCAGAAAGAGGGTGGTAACTTCAAAGGGGATGCAATAATTTCTTACACAGCGTCAGTGTGATTTGCGATCACATTACTGTACTGTAATCTAACCAAACACAAGTTTTTCTTTATCCTTTTTAAGGAAAGACCAGTCATACTGAAAGCCTTTCAGTTTGACTTGAAAGTCTTTCAGTATGACTTGTCATTAACGAACCGTGAGACTTACCAATCTAATCTTTCCAGAGAACCTGGAAATAAGAAACATCCTCTAAGGCATAGGTAAAACTTTTCAGGAAATTTTAAGTTTTGTCCTCCTTTCTCTACATTATTCATCATTTACAACATAGATCAATTTCAAAATCTTGTCTGTGTGAGCAAGAGCCATCCATTCAGGCTTCTAGAGGTCTTTCCTGCCCAAGACAAATGAGCAGAGGAGCTGCACGTATTTGAGGTGGCATTCAAAGCAATCTAACCCATCAGAGTTCTCTAGCAGAATAAGCATGTAACTTTCCGGAGAGCCTTCCATCATACTTACATCATGATGCATTAAGTTCCCCATTGAGGATTCCTGTTAATACTGTCTGTGTACGGATGAATCTTTGAATTATGCCACTTGGAAAAATAGATCTTGTAGTATTTTTGAATCATTAGTGTAATTAAGCAAAATAATTCTAGCATTTGACTTCTTCACTAATCCTGGAAAAACGTAAACTAAACACACAGGCTTTTTGCTAAATTTCCTAAGAGTTTTACTCATAGAAAACTTAGGATTGTTCTTGAGTTTGCCGTGATGATGGAATTGATGAAGAAATTCTCTAATTTGCTTCTTTTGGTTTACAACTGCACAGCCCCTACTCTTGCTGCTTTCCCCCCCCTGCTATCTTAGAAAAATAATTCTAAAACCTTTACTTCCTACTTCAAAAGTTGGCCATTGAGAGCCCATTTGTGTACATAGACATAAAACTTCACTGGGTTTCATGGAGGTGAAGAAAATGCTTGAGATGTTAAGTGTATCCAAATGAGGCAAGCCAGCCCAAACTCAACTTTCTCAGTGTTCTTGCTTTTGTAACATGCAGCAGAGTTGACTTCTTATATTTCACTCTGAATTACAAGATTTTATCTTCCTGTACCATAAGGCTGCTAAGGGAGTTCTCAAATTTCTGTTTCCAATTACATCACATTACAGTGAACTCCAGTTTTACGTAAGAAACCCTTTTAGGCTAACATAGTGGGTAAGCTGTTATGGAAAATCGTAGCCTTTGGGCCAAATTATTCTGTAAAAAAGAAAAAAAGCACCAACAAAAGAAAACCCGCCACTTTTTCTGGTCATATTTTTGGTTTGTGAACAGAAAAATTATGTTACTGCAACAGAATTATAAATGGGGAAAAATATATTACTGGAGCTATAACCAGAATGTCAAGAAGAAAAGAAGGTGGTTCAAATGCTGTGTAAAGTAACTTCTGTATCTGTTATTTACGGTACGCTTCAGCTGACAATATAGTAAAGGCATCTCTTTATTATGAACTAAGAAGTCACAGTTTATTCAGTGATGATGATTTATTTCTGACCACTTCAAAAATTAAACCTTTTGCAAAATCCGGTGCAGCTGTTGTATGGTGTTTTAGGTTGGGACCTTGTAATTTACCCAGACAAAAATTCCTCCTTTGAAAGAAGGAAGGTAAAACAGTAAATTTGGTCCTTCTTTTTCAGACTGGCTCATGCAGGGCTTGTTTGCATGTTTTTACAAGAGCTAAATTGCTTACTCTTTTTCCTGTCTTCAGATATCTTGCTTAGGTATCACTACAAATGAAAGAATGAATGCAAGAAGATACAAGCACTTTAAAGTTACAACCACATCTATTGAAAGCCCATTCAAGTAAGTTTTAAAGTGTAAATGTATTTCTTATTTGTGTAGCCTTGTATACATTTGAATCATGTGGCTTATTGAAATAGAACATAGCTAAATACTTTTGAAGTATTTTCACTATGTGGAACACTGAATCTGTCAGCTGTTTTTACAGTAACACATTCTATCCAGTTAAAGGAAGTGATAAATGTTTTGTAGTCACTCTAGACAGGGATGCATAAACATGGAAATTAATGCTTTCCAGCAGTGGTCATATTTTGCTGTAGAGTTTATGGGGAAATAAATATCCTCTTTACAAATCAGATGCCCAAACCAGAGGTAGTTGCTTACTGCATGGTGTCAATGTTGACCTGGATCTTCACTTCCACACTAGGCACTTTCTCCTGATTGATATTTAATGTGCTGTTAAATTTGGTCTGTGCAGTAGCTTCCCTTGCTCTGTTTACTGTGAGAAAAGAGGCAGCACTTCTGTCCTGCTCAGGAGGAAGAGCATGGGCAAAGCTGTTTATGGGGAAGGGAGCAGGATGTCCCAGGAACTGAAGCAGGTGTTGCAGGGATGAGACGTGAGCTTTTGGGTATCAGTATGTAAAGGGTAGCCTGGGATTCTGGCTTCTGTAGTGATGAGGTTGCAAGCTGAGAAAGGGGCTCGGGGATGATGTAGCACTGGGATGGGAATATGGCAGCATGGAGCAGCTTATGGAGCCAAAGCAGGAGATAGATGAAGGCCGGAGGCTGGAACACTGGTGGGTTGAGGGCACGTTACAAAAGGAGCAGCGAAAAGACAGAAGCATGGCTCATCCTGCTGCATATGCTGTGGGAGCTGCTGCTCTTGCAGGTGACATCCGGGGGAACAGGAGATAGAAGTTCTTGTTGCAGTTTGATTTTGTGCTATGAGAGAAATTTGTGTGATTTTTTTAAAATACCCTTCCATACAAAACTCCTAGGGAGAAATAGACAAACATCTCTGTGTGGTTGCAATCTTCCTACAGATAAGAGTTGTGACAAAAACATAATTATTTTGCCTGAAGAACATAGGGCAGTGCACAGAATAGGAAAAAAAATGCTGCTTTTATCCCCAAATTAATGTCACATTCACAAACCATTTTCACTGAAATAGCTGCTATTGTAAAAATGACTCCTGAAAATAACACCAGATGTCTGAAATAACTGACTTGGCATCACCTGTCAGATGAAGCACTGACATCAGGTAGTTGTCATCTCCTTGCTGCTTTGACCTGTCCTTGCATATATCATAACACAAGCTTCTCTTCCAGAAAATCGTGATCTATTTAGGCCATGTGTAATTAAATCAAAAAACCCAACATGTTGGAATTTTGATGTAGGTATCTTAAATATTTGTCAATGAATTGATTCGGCATCAGAAAGCACGTTAATAGTTCATTTAATTCAGATAAAGTTCTCTTAATTTTGTGTTGGCTAGGGCCTCAACTGATCTTAGGCCTGCAGCTGGTGAACCAGTATGTATGACAGAAATAGATATTAGTAAAACCGGAAAATATTCTGGGAAGACATTCACTTCATACTGTTTTGTCTCGCATCCATCTGTACAGTGCAACTTTGCTCTTGGAGAGGGATCTGGATTACCATGCTACGCTACGTGATGGTGTGCTGCCAATAACATGTTACATTTCTCCACACAGTTTGGTAGATGGTGAAAGAAAGTTAGTGTCTTGGTTGTGTCCAAAGATCAAACACTCACTAGTCTGGTGACTTCTTATTTCAGAACTTGCTCATCAGCAAGCACTAAGATAATTGTTAACCAAATTGCTTTTCTACAGTTAGGAACTTTTAAAGGCCAAAGAATCGAATTTGTAGGCAGACAAAAATGCTGTACTTTATTAGATGAGCTGTGGTACTGCTTACTAACATGCGGTTTTGTTTTGATTTCAGCCATGGATGTATAAGGAACATTATAGACTTCTTTGAATTCAGATGCTGTGGTCTTTTTCGGCCTGTTATCGTGGACTGGACAAGGCAGTATACAATAGAATATGACCAAACTTCAGGATCAGGCTACCAGCTGGTGTAGCACCACCTTCATCCTGTGAGCATACCATATCTGAGTGGTGCCTGAAAAATTTTCTCTCTCTCGAATCCGCATCCCTTGAAGAGTAGCATGCTATGTGTAGGGCTGATGATGAATCTTAAGGTACCTTCTCTTCATCAGAATTTTATTAACAAAAGTAAAAATGGACAGAATAAACTGCCAAACCTGACAAGGAAGAGGAGGAAGATCAAAAAGGGATTTTAACAGTTCTTAACATGAAACTTATTCGCAGAAGCATATTCACAGTATTTGTTGTTGGGTTTTTTATTTAAGGTCTTTCACAATGGAGCATGAGATTACTGAAGTATTGACATAAGTGGTTACGTTGTGCTGAGCAGAAAAATTTATTTCCCAGTATGAATAATTCCACTGAAACAAGAATCTAGAATATGAAACTAAATTTCATGATGCAGAGTTCACTGATAGCTATGTTGTAGTCCCTGTAATGTGATTTTTTAATACAGATTTTCTGTAGTATTATGTACATTGAAAAATGTGCTTTTCAGTACCGTTACAAACAACCATCATGTGGTGGGAATCCCTTGTAACGTGTTAAGTTATAGCAGTAGGGCACATCAGATAATGTTGAGAAAAAACGCATTGCCCACATTTTTTGGTGATTGTTTTTGCCACCAGTAAGTGGTACAACTAAATAATTGTAATAACCCTGTTCTGAGATTATTTAGTCTGAAATAAACAGTTACGCAAATAAGGAAAGCTCTTCTGTCAAAGTTACAGCCCTGCTTAAATGCATGATACACCTGTAAAACTAGATTACAGTATATTAATGTTCAGGAAAAAAGTGGAAAAAATTCATTATCGTTGAAGTAATTGTATAAGCAACTTACAGACTAGCAATGTTTCAGTATGAGGTTTGGTCCTCATACAGTGTAGTGTAATTGGAGACATGTTGGAAGAGAAATGGCATGGGGAAAACGACAGACGTGAAAGCAAAAAACTCAATTGTAAAAAGACAAGAGAGTTTTAAATTGAATGGAACGGCAGAAGAAGAACCCAAAGTTGTCTGAAGTGCTTTTTTGTTTGGATGTAAGATAACGGAAACCAAACTTTAAAAAAAAATATTTTAAAAATCCCCATGATAGCACGCGCACACAGAAAATCTAACGCAACGTTCTGAAGATGATGGTGTATTGGCACGTGGAAATCACCTTTAATTTCTTTTTTTTAAGTTCTCATGCTACAGATATGTTTGGAAGGTAAGGAATGATCTGAAATTGCATTCCAAAGGGGCTTTTCTTGAATGTGATGCACTGATTTTTGTTATGGTGTTTTCATATACTCATAGTGAATTGTTCACTGCTTCCTTAACTATTGTTTACAGAGAGACTGAGAATCAGGTTAGTTCTCTTCTAAGTGCTGTAGCAACCCAGTGGTTCGAGAAACCTGTGAGGGGAGTTTGGGGAGGGACCTGAAAGCAGATGTCTGAGACCAGTGTAAAGAATGTGTATCTGTATATAAATAATTTATCAAACAGTTTTCTCTCTGTGAGTGTGTGTTTAGTGTATTTAAAGCTGCTCATTTTCATTTTATTCAACCAAAAAAGTGTAGGAAGATATCTAATGAGCTTTTAGTGATGTTCAATATTGCTGTTAATAGGCATTATGCCCTGCAAATTCACTGCATGTTTGATGCTTGGCAAAATTAGCGTTTTCTGTAATATGCAGATTACAGGTAATAAAGCAATCTAGTGGTATTCCCAGCCCTTGCCTTAGTAAGAGGAGCAGTGAAACTGTAAATAGTTGATGTTCAGTATTTGCAAGTAAACATTTTTTTCTGTAGTTGTTCATTGATCTCAAGACACACACTTAGTTTGCAAGTACCAGATATCAGGATTTACAGAAGTGCAGCATCAGAGTACTTGAATGTTTAATACTGGAAAAACCAACATCGTCTTGGACACAGTTTTAATGGGAGAGGTTTGGGTGTAGGGGTGGCAAGAAGCTTTTGCTATTTTTGTCAGACAAAATTCGTAATCCAAATGACACGTTCCATTTCAGTGAAAACAGTTGACAGCAGTTACTCGTATTTTTTTCTAATCAGAAAAAAGCATGAAGACCTTACAGTGTTGTTTATTTTAATCACCAGTAATGTTCTGCATATCTGTTCGGTTTTTTATCTTCCCCCTCCCCCCCATTTCTGTTGGGGGTCGGTTGACTTGAAGAACTTCAGTCCACTTTATTAAATACCACCTAGCACCAGAAGAGCAGTTCAGTACGTGACACAAGTTTTGGGTTTAGTTGCCCAGTAGCATTAACCGTGATGAATTCTGTCATGCAGTCCATGTCAAAAATGTTTGCAAAAGAAGCGGTGGGTGATCTTTGGTAGTACGTAGTGAGGTCTGCGCTACTTCTTTGTTAATAGCTCTCTGGTGACAGTTTTGTTGAGACCTGTAGAATTTGAGCAATAGTAGGTAGTTGTGAAAATTAACTTGCATATATGGATTTGGGATGTATGAAGTTTCCAGTGCAAAATGTAACTTGTCTTGAGTAACACTGAATCGTTTGATGTGAAATCATAAAATCAAGCAGGGGGGAGCCAACTATGCAGCATTTTTCTGTCAAGTTATCAAACTTACAATTCAGTTGTTGAACCAAAACGGCGTTGCTTCTGAAACTTAACAAAGCTGGTCCAGACCAACAGCAGATCAGACCAACTTAATCTGACATAGGTAGAATAAATGGGAATTTTGTCTTGGCCCTAAACATGTGCTGTTTCTTTGCAGGTTTCTGTATTCTTTGATGTCCACCAGGTTATTTTTTTTTTCAATTAATGTGTAAAACAGCATCACTACATTTTAAGCTATGGATTTTTTTGTATATTCTTTATTTATAACTGTGCCAAGTATTATTTTAATACTGTCGAGATCTTGATGTATTACATTGTGAACAAAAAAAAATTCTGTAAAATGTTTAATAAATTAGCTCTCCTTACATAAATTAAATCTGTTAAATTTTGTAAGTTATTAATCAAATAAATATTGACTCTTAGATGCAGTGTTTGTCTTGACTTGGGATGTGATTTCACACAGTGGTGTTTCTGTCCAATATCAGAAGCCATACCATGAGAAAACAGCTGCTATCTTGCATCTTATTTTAGTAAAGTCATTCTGGAAAGATTTACCGGTGTCTTAAAGATAGCATGCACTCCATTCTGCGGCGATGTGAAATCCCGTGAGCTACGACACGGGGTTTTGGTAAAGTACACCTTTGTACTACCGATTAGAGTTAGCGTTCGCTAATTAGATACTCCTTTCTTTCGAGCAAAGCATGCTGGCAAGGTAACGTTTCTTCAGGGAGAGTTCCTTCTAGGGAGCGTTTCAAGTGGCCAAATGTCCATATTTAATGACCTTTAGGGTATTCTAAGGGTAAACAAGACGTCCACACAGGACTAGTAGGCGTGACCAAGGGGTGTGCTTCTAGGTGGCACTTGCAGGAGGCAGAATACCTTGACTCTTCTGGTCTGTGCTCAAGGTTAGATTTTTAGTAGAAACAAGGTAACCATCCAAATTGGAATTTAATCAGGATATTTATAACCAGGAATATGTATTAAAATACAAGGCTAGGACTTCAGAGCGCACCTAATGGGGAGAAAAAAGGTCTCTGTGTTTCCTGCTGGGGGTGGGGTCAATATTGACGTTGAGAACTGTTGGTGCTGTTCTCCCCTTCCCCAAGCAATGGTTCTGGTGAGGCTGGGCCCAAGCTCACCTCTGCTGACCACCCTTTGACTTGTCTCATAAAGATCAGGGATGGTACTTTCTTTTTTTCGACGGACATTCTGTGCTGAAGGTCTCCATCAGAGATCTGCAGTGCTCCATCAGAGCAGCTGCTGCTCTTGGGAGGTATGGGTGGGCTCCTGATGACTTGAAAGCTGGTTACTTGGTTTGTTTTATTTGGGAAGAAGCCTGCCTTCTGCACCCTCATTATGGCTTGATGAGAGTTCACTCCCTTGCACCTCCCATGAGCTGCTGCCTTTAAGTAAAATCAGATTTTTTTTTATTGCTATGAAAGCAGTGTTTACTTCTGAACGCTTGCATTTGGATTTTACCCACCTTAGGCTGCTGAGTGGAGATGAGTAAAAATATCACCTACTAATTCCAGGTTAAATTTATTTGCAGTGTCTTATCAACTTAGTGCCGCATTCACATTGCCTCCAATCCTACATTCTACTTAAGATCTCCAGGTCATGGAGTCAACATACTTTTGAGAACCCATCTCTCCTGGAATTAGGGCTCCAAACTGAGACTAACTCAAAGCATTGCTCCAGCCTGGGCTGAGCTTTTACTCATCAGAGCTTTGCTGCAGCTGAAAAGTTGACAGTAACCAGGTGAAAGCACTTTGGTGTAGGGTACTCATTTCTCTTGACAAGTATATTGTCTTTATGGTTACAAGTTTTCGTTTTTCTTTCATTTCTATGTTCTTCTGTGGTTAAATAAGTTGTTGGGATGTAGAGCAGTGTGGAGCTGAGAGTTACCACTATGACTCCCCCCAGGAAATTAAAGGAAAGCCCTCGATTTTTAGCAGTTTAAATCACTTCTGATCGCTTCTTCTGTTCATTTTTCTAAGAATTGAAAGCTCTCTTTTATGGGTAAATGAACAATATGTTAGATGCCCGGTTTTGTCAGCATAAATCGCACCTGCCAACTGTGCTTATGTGGCACGTTTAGATCAATTACAGTAGCTACGCCAACTAATGGGGAGTGGTTTCGTCTGCTCAGTAGTGTGTAAAGAGCATTATTTTCCTTTCTGTCTGCCCAGCAGTGCCACTCAGTGTTTTACAATGCCATTCCTGAGAGGAGGAAGCACTTCCATCAGCTAACGAGGCTATGGAAAGGGGATGTTGCCATTGTCTTCACGTCCTTGGCTGCAGGGGCCTGGATACCGCTTCTGAGTTAGAGCTGTCCTTGCTCAGGTTAGAAGAGTTGGAGGGGATCAACCCTTCCTGCACAAGTGTCCAGCTGGCAAAGGAGAAAAGTACTTTTTTTTTTTTTTTTTCTAGGAGAAAAATATTAGGCTCATTGGTATGACTAGCAGGACCAAAGGTTTCTGCTGGGCTGTTTCTTTCTGTCTCACTCCTACCTGAAATGTCTGCTGCTTCTGCCTTTCCTCTTGTCTCTTTCAGTTGCAATCCTTCCCTCTCTGTCAACTGTCCAAGCTCTTGGCTCACATTCTGAGCCGGCTGGCTGTTCTTCCTCATATCCACATTGTTGCTTTGTAACCTGTACAAAATGCTCTTTGTGTATTATTTTGACCAGTACATATTTTTCTAATTAGGCTTTTGGCTTGCACTGCTTCACGGCCTCAGACCACAGTCATAGATGTTGCTTGAAGCTCTGTCTTAGACCGTGCTGACACATTTGCTGACCATTTTACTGTAGCATTCCCAGTCTTCAGTGTGTCTCCATAAATTCACTCCGTGAAAGGTTTTTTTTTCCCCCCAGAGATACCAGCGTGCTTCCCAAACCAGAGTTTTCTTTACATAACTTCTGCTGGGCATGATGAAGAGTCAAAACTGAACCTCCTCCCCCCACCCCAGAACACCGTGTGGGTTGTAACCACTGCGACGGAGCTCCCCACAGCTGTGGTCGGCCTCCAGTGAAGCCCCTGCACTGGAAGGGGTGGGAAGATGCTCCTACAACTGCCCGTGACCTGCTGAGGCTCAGGCGTGCTCCCCCGAGGTACCATTTCTGCTTTTAAGAGGCGTCGATGCCCAGATCTCATGTGCCTCCTCCTTATTGTGGGCAGGAGCAAGCCATAAGCTGTGCAAAAGGAGCTTGGCAGAACAGCCCGAGCACGCTGGTAAAGATCTGCTTCAGGTGCTCAAGAAACTTAGGCCCAGATTTAAAAAAGAAAAAAAATAACCTAAGCTGTTCGTACTAAGTACTGGTTACTTGTGTAAAAACAGGGCAGCTTGCCTCAAACTGGGTGATTTTTTTTTTTTTGCATCAGTTTTAGGCTGAAGTACCTCATTCTCACATAATGCCTTTGTGGTGGGCTGCTCCTGGGTCTCCTGTTGAGGAGGTGACTCCCAGTTCCTTCCCGAGAAGTGCAGTTGCAGGTGCTACCAGCACAGGCCTCACAGGCTTGTGGTGGGAGCTTCTCCAGCCCCCAGAAGCAGCCAAGCTCTTCTGTAAGCTTTCCACTCAAGATCTGGCTAAAGCAAGAGTAATTGTCTCCTACTTGCAGACCTTTAGGATCTGCTGCTAATGAAGTTGCGTTAGCAGGGGCAAGGACCCTGGCCCGTTATGGCTTTCACCCAGCTGGTGTGTTCACAGGGAGTAGATTGACACTGCAGTTGGTGTGTTTGATCGCTATTACTCCTTGCCCATCAGCTTGAGTTCAGGTCATGTTATCTACCAGAGTGCTTAAAGGCAGGATTTTATTCTGCTGTGGTTTTGCACTACAGCCACTTTGTCAGGCACCATCCTCAAGAGGCGGAAACCCTCCACCATCTTCAGGAAACTGAGGGTTGTAAGACTGCTGAGAAAAGGTCAAAAACCTCTCCTAAACACGAGTTTGATGTGATAGTCCACAGCTTGGTCCACTGCTCAGTAGGGATGGCATTAATCTGCAGCTGTCTTTAGCAAGAGTACTCCTTCTGCACAGTAAGTCCTGTGCGTAATAACACCTCAATACCAAAGCAAGTGCAATCCCACAAGGTACTACAGTGAAAAAGGTTTGTTTTCCATTGACTAGAGGCTCTGGAGCAGGGACAGCCAGCCCTGTAGGCTCACAGCTACTTACAATCTACCACTCTCAGAGCTGTGTCGCTGCACAGAGCAGTAGATGATTAAGATGTACTGCTACTGTCCAGCAAGCAGCTGGTTGCCTTGCGCACGCGTATGGCAGCGTCGTACTGGAGGACAGTCATTCACCGCTGCAGGCCATGACCAGTGCTACGTATTTCCAGCTTTCAGTCATGCTGGGCTCTCGGTGAAGGTCTGCACCAAGTCTTTAGCAACACATCTCTACCCCTGCACCCCCCCACAGTACCCCAAAGCATCTTGCTTAGCTTTTTATTGCTGACAAAGTGTGGAACACTTGGGTTTAGGATACATCAACAAGCAAAGCTTTATTGAATTGATACTCTATTAAAAAGTGTTACAGTGTGATACACAAAGCAAGGACAAAAGCAGTGCTTTTTAAAAAAAAAAAAAATCATCTGGTGGATGTATGGCCCAAGCACTACAGTAACTAGCATCAGTTTCACAGTAGTTAGTAACATTTAGGAAACTCTTCTTTCTTGTAGCAGGATCTCAGCAGAGCCGTAAGGGGTTTTGAGCCGTGCCCCCTCACTGGGCGTGAACAAGGGCACCCGCTCCCTGGCCGTACCCAAATCCCTTGGGGCCAAAGTTCTTCGCATAACAACCTGCGAGAAAGATGAACGTGTAGTAGCTGAGGATTCTGGCCTGCTAATTAAGAACAGCACCATCTAGGCTAAGCCCCTCAGCCGCTTCCCGTTAAGTCACCAGAACACCCTCATCGGCAGCAACGATGCTTTTAGGAAACATTTTGTTAAGCTGCGTAACTGCCGTGACTGAACTCAATAGCCATGGCTGCTCAGCCTGCGTAGCTCCCAGCCTACTCTGTGAAAGCAACTCATACCTGGATTCTGAGGCTGGGTATCTGTTAAGAGGTATGTCGTCATCAAACCACCCCGTGGATCAAGTTTATATCCACAATACCACGCAAGAAGGCACAGTGGGATGCCTGCTAGCTTGTTCCCTCACTCTCATCTGCTCTCTGACCCAGGCAGAGGGCACAGGCTGCCGCTGCCTTTCTCAATATGTAATGTTTTGCTTGATGCAGACGTAAGCTACAGCAGCAGCTTCAGCAATACTTATTTCTCAGCTCTATTCCTATGACTTACAGAGTACTTCCATCTTGACAGGAGCCTGAAAGTTTCTTATACCAGGAATGAATTTAGCATCCATCCTTGTAACACATTACCTTGAGCCATAGACAAATGGTTTTTGTTTCTTTCCTCACCTTTACAATAGATTTCTCCCTCTTTTTCAGTTAGGGTTGTAGATTCTAGGCTTTTTCCACACTTGGCACATCGGAAGCAGTTTTTGTGCCATGGCTGGGGGGGGAAGAAAAAATATATATATTTTAAATACACAGAATGCCTGAGTTGGTAAAAAAAAAAAATGCACTAACTGGAGATGCCTGCATCAGTATTGTTTATAGATGACTGGTGCAATAAAAACCAGTTCAAGTGCACCAGTAGCAGACGAGAGCATCTGCAGTTCTGTGAGTGGCCCAAAGCCCCGAATTCCACACAGCATCCTGCTCAGCATTTTGAAAGGTTTAGGCTTGCTCTTATCAATTCAGAGCAGACCTTGGTGCTCTGTAGCGAGTCAGACAGCTGGCAGACTGACACACAGTTTTACACGGTATTTTCAGAGAACATCCCCTTTCTGCTGAAACATTCGGCCTCTGTGATAAGCTGCACACCACAGGACTGCTCCCTCTTCTGTGGGGAGAGCGCTCCTGTAACCTGCTTCAGGTCTCTGGCACGAGATGACACTGAAGCTTCCACCTCTGAAACCCCTCTGAAGGGGAGCACTCATCACCCTGCATTTCAAGTTCAATTAAGTTGATTGATTTAACTATTTCCAATGCTAAGAAATGCAATTTTAAGGTAACTCTGCCCCTCGGTCAGGTCTCTGCTGGGGGACACATAACATACCTTGCTCGCTTTAAAGACCACGTAGCAGGTACACAACAGCACAGGCAGTTCCTTACCTTTCCAGCTCCTATGACTTTCTCTGCCGCATAAACAGAATCACCACACCTAGAGCATTTCTCTGCCCCTCCGAACTTCTGAGCGAACTTTGAAGTGTTTGGGTTTGTTGTGGGTCGGTGAGGAGAGGGCGTGCTGAAAGAAAGGGGACAGTTGTTGTCTCTACTCTTTTACTAAATGACCTCTTGCTCTTCTTAACAACACTACCAGAGCAGCATCCAATAAACAGTACGGAGCACTGTATTTTTGCAAAACTGGAGAAGTAAGTCACCAGCAAGGCTATCCAATTACACTTGGTAGGGAAAAAAGAATGGGGGGTGTGTGTGTGTGTGTGTGTGTGTGTGTGAAAGAGAAAGGCCATGCTTCAAAGGATAAAAGGAAGCTACTGTAAAAGCTAGTTTTCTGAGGAACCTTCACCTTTTTGCTTCTCTAGAGGTGCTGAATTCTGTATCAGGACACAGATTTATCAGACAGTAAGCTACAAATAACTCTCAAATTCCTGTCCACTGATCATAATCTGGAACCTGAACTGATCACCGAACCTGGCTGGAAAGCATACATCGTGTAAACATCAAGCAATAGTTTGGGAAGTTGCATGAAGCAAGTTGTGGGGCATACCTCAGCTTCTTTCCACATGCTTTGCTTTACAGCAAGAAATTAATCAGGCTAGGAATGTTTACTATTTAACAGGCTTTTTGGGTTTGGCTATAATTAAGCACAAATGGTTCTTCACTTGCCAGTTAAAAATTCATTCTTTTTGTAGCCCCAGATTCTCAGTTCTCCAAATCCATCCCTGCCAGGACCTGCTTAACGTTTGCATTTGCAGGTAATTTAGGAGAGCAACTCAAGGCCCACAGTCACCTCTGCGGGCTCACGCAGAGCCATCAGTATCTCTCTAATCCAGTCCCCCATGGTTCGTGCGTAGGGTTAGTGCATCTTTACCTGCGCTAACTCCCGCTCGTACGGTGCCTTCACCAGTGGAAGCTTTGTGCTCTGCAGGTTAAATACCCTGCATTCAGTTATCCTGGGATATTTTGCAGCATCTCTTCCAGACAACACGAACTAAACAAAATCCAGCCCAGAAGACTCCTCTGAAAACAGTATGGGAGGACCAGGGTCACGCACCGCCCCAGTCAGTTTGCTCACCTCTCAGGCTTGATGCCTAGTCTCTCGCCCCTGTCCATGTTCAGTGTGCCTGCCCCTTGGCCATACCCATAACCTTTCGGGCCATACTTTTTTCCATAGCAAGATTTGCAGTAAACTTCAGCATCATGAATCGCTACAGTTGTGCTGTCCAAGTTTTTCCGGCAGACCACTGGAAGGAAAAAAAAAAAAAAAAAAGTTACACTGCCTTAGGGGACCATTTCCTTCAGCACAGGTAGTAAGCCAAAGATCAAGTGACAAGTGATGTTACGGGTTTCCTTGCCCACAGTTCTTCCTATTAGGCTGTGGGACTGCCAGGGATTAGAGGGAGCAGGTTGTCGTCTGAATTAGCGAATTATGCTTAGCCCTTTAAAGGGCTTTATTCCCTCCCACCTCTTCATGACCATGACATTTAAAGCCTGGAAACTTGCTGTGGTTTGATGAATGAGGCCACTCAGAAACCCAGATAGCGCAGTCAGCAGTTTCCCTTGACAGATGCCATACAGCATGAAGCAAAAGCCTATCGGTGCAGAAGAGCCCCCGTCCTGCCCTTTTGGCCAGGGTGGGGCTGGGAAAAAAAAACCCTTCAAGGTTTTCCCCCTGCCTGGGGACTGGTTTGGGGCAGAGCTGGGACTGTTTCACAGCTGTCACTGGAGGGGCCGAGCTTTTCTGGCATTCCTACATTGTCCTTCCGCACAATGCAAGCCCTCTGCTCAAGGTTACAGTGGAAGGCAGAACTATTTCCTTCTTAAACCTTCTTTTGTATCCCAACTTGCATGCTCTTTCCGTCTGCAGCAGCATTATGCCCATGATAAAGAATTTGAGGGGGGGGGGGGGGAGAAAAAAAAAAAAAAAAAAAAAGGCCTTATGAATTTTTTGTTTAAAAAGAATTTTAAGGTCTTCAAAATCCAGAGTGACCTTTGCTTATGGCATTCATTAGCTCCAAGGTTCTTTTTATAAGACACAAATATCCAATAAGTAAATCAACTAATGCATGTTTGTTAAGTCTACAGACTTTAACCCCAACAGAACTATGCACTGAGGAAAAGCAAATACTCAGACACACTAGAGCCATTGTTTGACTGCAAGTTCCAGGTTTCTTTTAATAGAAACTCCCATAAAAGGCTGAAAATGAGGCAGCCGAGACATCTAATCTTTTTTTGTGACTGCTGTAGAGCTAAGGGGAAGGAGCGTAGGTGTGCCGAGGCCGACAGGCCAGCACGGCACGCTGATGTTGTGCTGCAGGCTGACAGCAAACTGCTTTGAGAGGGCCAGATGTGACCATGGCTTATATGAGCGGGCTAAGCCCTAGCTCTGCCCCTCGGTAGTAAACACCAGCAAGTGGGACAAAACGGTACCTCATGTTTGTAGTAAGGTGAAATTCTCCGATTCGGACAGACAGGCTGCCTGTTTGCAAAGTAGGAGCCTCCGACTCACAGCGACCCTTTGTTCCCTTCATCTAAGCAGAGGTCTGTTCAGCAGAGAGCGATTTTCAATGCCTCGCTGGGCCGGTCGGTTGGACTGGAAAATAATGCTTTGGACTCCTTTCATCTGAAATAAACTACGGGCCCCTGTGCCAAGAAAGTCTAGGCTTTTGGCTGTGCTAAAGCATCGACAACTCTGCCGCACTCAGGCACACTGGTGTCCCGGTCTGTGCAGGACTCCAGGGCAGGGGTCTGGCAACTGTTCCTTCAGCTGCTGCCGGCCCCGGGACCACCAGGAAAAGTCCAGCTAAGTTCAGATCAGTGCAACGGAGCTCTGCCACTGGGCTTTCTCCTCTGCACAGGCAACACTTAAGCCAGGTTTCCATTCTAAACTCAGGCCCCTGAGAAGAAGGCTGGGAGGAGGGCAAACGGAGGAGAGAAGCGTGATCTGCTCTGCTTTGGGAGGCGCATCCCACCCTTCCCACACAGGACAGGTAGGATAATACCTCTCCAAGAGACAAGCTCTCCCTTCGGCACCAGCAGACCCAGGGAGCACGTGGGGAAGGAGGAGTTGAGCCCAGCACCTGATGGACAAAGCCATCTCTGGTCGCTGCCATCCCCTCTGCATCACGGGTGCCAGCTGAGTCTGGGACATCGCCTGTGGACCAGCACCTTGCTGCTGCGACCCCCCAGCTACGCCAGGAGAGGTTTTGCACGGGAGCGGGAGGGGAATACTTACTGCAGAGGAAGCAGCACCGGTGGAAGCTCCTCCCGTCGCACTGCACCTCCTCGGCATGGTAGACAGTGCGGCCACAGGCGCCGCATTTGTTGCCGCCTCCCCAGTTCGGCATGGTGGCTCTGCGTGCCCAGCCAGGCGGGAGGGGAGAAGGGGAAAGGTTTGTTAGCCATGGTGTCCTCCCCCACCCCGGCTCGAGGACAGCTGGGGCTACAGGCTCCTTTAAACCAGGTCTGCGAAGTTGGTGTATCGGAGCACAAGCCCACGATTTCACCAACTGTTTGAAAACGTGACCTTCCACCGTGTGAGAAGTTTTTGTGGTCCCAGACCAGACTTAAAGGCTTAGGCGGGCTCTGTACGGCTATTTGTAAAAGCAGATGGACTGGCAAGGGGAACAGAGGCTGCTGCTGCCGAATGGCAAGAAAAACAGAGACACAGTCTGCCTGAAATGTGCCCTCCCGTCCCTGCCCGGGGTTTTGAAAGTTACATAAATTGGATATGCACAAATTACAGTTTCACGCACAAGGGCTTTACTGTACCTTGAGCGAACGCCCCCCCGGATGGATATAATTTCAGTTTCTATGCTTCATTAACACTGAGCCTCCCGTCTGATGGAAGCAAGCCGATTGTGCCAGCAACGGCATTTTGTTTCACTGCAAGGCCTATCATTTGGGATGCAGTACAAGCCAAAGTTCACCTCACCGGAGAGCCGCTTACTAGGGCTGTGGGGACATTCTGAACTCCCTTCAGATCACACCTGCACTACAAAGAAGTTTAAGGGAGATTATTTCCTGGAGACTCCACCGCTATTCCATGAACCTTTACCAGACAGGTCTACGAATCAAACCAAATTGCTCAAGGAGCCACAGCTCCATTACTTGAGATGGACACTCAGAAAGCCAGTGAGGAGGGACTGGCACCATCAGCCATCATGTCAAACTACAGCCTTGGGAATGGGCTGCTACGTTAGGCAACTGTCCCATCTCAAGCTGAGCTGCCCCTGCCTCAGCTCCCCTGCCATTCCCACCAGCAGTTCCCATCCAGCTCAACTGGGAGCTCCCCCCGCTCCTCCCATTAACTGTCCTGGGGTAAAGCACCAAAGCAGAGAACTGCCCACCACCTTTGGCTTTTCTGGGGCTTTCCTCCTCGAGCCACCACCACAAGCTAACACAGCAGTGCTTGTTGAAGGCTCATCTCCCAGGTATCGCTGAACTGCCCTTGACTCCGAGCATTGGTCCAGGCTGGTTTGCTCCCCTGCAGCTCACCACCAGAGGACCACCTCTCATAAGCATGGAGGCCAACAGCAGCCAGAGAGAGAATGTTATCGATTCAGCAAGTTTAACCCAGCAGAGCTGCTTCTCAGGCCTCATCAACCCCCCTGCCCCTTGTCTCAGACAGGGTCTCTGGGCGAGGACCGTGGGTTTGCCCACTGGAAGCCCAGAGGGCACCTTCTGCCACCCCACCAGCAGCACCGTTCCCTCCCAGCAGGCTCCCCACAGCAGTGCTGTGGTATGGGTCAGCTATCAGGGAGGTAAGGAAGAAAGGAATTTATCAGGAGCTTCTGCCTTCTTTCGCACAACCCACCTCCAGTTACCCTTAGAAGCTCCACTATATCAGCCAGATGGGGAGAAGAGACGTGTGACAGCATCCCCACACAGTGCCCGCAACCTGCTGCCTTCAGACAGCTTTGCCGCTCGTCCCTCTGAGCCAGAAGCAGAGGGCTACCGACTTCCCCTTGTCCTCCGGGCCAACAGTGAGGAATTGGAAGTGCCACCCCTGACACAGGGAGCTAGAGAGGAGCGCTTGGCTTCGAGATCCCCCCTTCTGTAAGGGGCTCTCACCAACCTGCGGGAGAGACCTCGGTGCAGAGCGAGGGGTCTCGTGGGCGCCTGGCTGCTGCCTTGTGCTCCCCAGGCAAGGTAGGGCAGCCTTGCAAATCGCACCTCAGAGCGGCATTTTTGGCTAAGCCTGAATTAAGCCACCCATCCTGCCAGTGCTGCTAAACCAAGCCTCCTGCCCAAGCATCCTGATCAGCAGCTCAGCAGTTCTGGGGGATGCAGGGAAGGTTGCGTGGTTCCCAAGTAAGACATGGTGCCAAGTGGCTGCTGCAAGACCTTTGTCCAAGACAAGCAGACGGCCATTCACGGCATGTGGGAAAATGAGATTAGTTTATTAACCTAAACTGGGGCATCTTAGGTACATTCCTAAGCAGAGGCTTAGGAAACTTCCTCGGAGCGGCTGAGCAATGCCATTTGCACACCGACACTAATTACTGAGATATCCCTTTGTTTAATACTTCCACGGGATTAGCACAATTACTGCTCCATGGTTTAGCACTAATACCCTGACCGAGCTCATAAAATTAGTTTTATGACATTTCCCACTTTGCCTTTGTCATTCTTGGCACAACTGTAGAGTCTAAAAATTAAGATTCCATTTCTTTTATTCAAGTGCTTGGCTGTGCTACCGCACAGCAGCTGACATCAATCATGGCAAAGAGCGTCCTTAGTTAAAGGGAATATAGGCTGCACAGAGCTTTGGAAAAGGAATGCATGGACTGGGGGGAAAAAAGAAAATAAAAGAAAGAAAAGGAGAAGAGATTCCTTTCCACTTTGTATGCTTTCCAAAACATAAACGGTATTTGGTACAAGAACTACTTCTGTCTTTTCCTCTCACCATCCCCACACTCCTGTTCTTTTGTGCATTTATGTGAGCCTAAATGATTTTAATCATTTTGTTAGCAAACAAATTATTTAGACTCCATGCACACTAGAGCTGAGGACCTGGACCAGGTTTCCAGCTTTGCCCCAAGTTTCCCACATGACACTGGGCAGCATGGGGTGCAGCTCCACCCTTTCTTCCCAAGGGAGACAAAGTATGAGATGATCTGGCAACAATTAGCTGACTCAAGTCTTCTGATAAGGGCTCTGGGAATTCATTAAAAGAAAAGCAAAACCGAGTTGAAGTCAGTACTTCAAGGTGGCCTCGGTCTCTTCCACAGAAGATCTCTCCATTTATCCTCCCCGTAACGTTCCCGTGAGGGCTTGCATGGGAAGAAGGGCAATATTTCTCCAGTTACTCAGCAGCCAGGGCTACCCCGAGGCGGCGGTGCCCAGAGGGCACCCGAGGGGAGAAGGGCTGATGAGCTGAAGAGGCGCTGCGCGCAGGACAGCATACAAGCCTGTATTCCTGCCCACCAGCCGCTCTCTTGGGAGCTTCATCCCCTTTGAGAGCTCCATGGGCAGCAGCAGACTCAGGCTTCCAGCCCTGCCCTAAGCCTTCCCTGCTCCCTCAAGACTTTTTGGCTAGTTCAGGCAGGCCTTCGGGGAGCTCAAGGGCAGTAATTAAACAGCCAGGATGATCTCACTGCCAGTACCAACAGTTTTGACGTTCGATGGCGGGTTTGTTGGCAGCTACTGTCCTCTAATAAGAAAACCCTGACTTTGGCAAAGTTCGTACCCCGTCAAGAGGCAAGCGCGTTATTCAGCTTAGCGTCCTCCAAAATGCCAGTGAGAGGCAACGGCAAAGTCCTTTCCAACCCATTTGTTAACAGCAGGTTTAAACACAAGAAACCTACACCAGCCCCGACGCAGACACCGAGGAAATTGGGGCTATCCGGTTATCCCGGGCGGCTTGCTCAGAGACCCCTCGGGAAGCCAAGCCCGGCAGCGCTGGGGAAACCAGGGCTCCCCGCG